AACTGGAATTCGATTTTACGATTTTCTCTACGAAATACACAGTTATTCATGAAAGCCTTCACGAGTTTGGAGTAAATTTAAAAAATTTTACGAGCACTAGGTCGAGGAACTTCGCCCTCCTCGCTTAAATCCTAATTTGTAGACACCGTTTACGCTCGCGAATTGAGCTCTGAACTGCAAAATACTATCCAAATTTCTGTACTTCAACTTTAAAGCTGAAGTGAATTTTTCTATCAAACTTTCCACGCTACTTTAAACTATAAAAAAAAAAAAGAGAAAAAAAATAACTCCGAGATAAAGATAAAATTTTTCTAATTAAAATTAAAAAGTTAAAGCCTCTTTTTCCAAGACTTCGCTCTGAATTATTTTTACTGTCGGAATTATTTTTATTGAAAAAAAAAAGAAACGGAGTTTTCGAACATTTCCAACATTTTCCGTATATCTCAAACGCGAGCGGTTCTGCATCTCGATGGGATTATGAAATGAGTGAATTTCGCTCTTCGTGAAATTTGCAATAATATCAAGTGTCCGCAAGAATCAAGCACCGTGAATCGCGCAAAAGTTCAAATAGTTTCATCTGGTATTAAAATGAGCCAGGCGGGGAGGGTGGTTTAAAACTTCTAAAGGACAAAGGACGAACTCCGTCTAGTTCGGGATTTGCCAAAGTAATCACGTTAGAATTAAAATCACTTGTTGGAGCTTTTTCGTAGCGTCGTTACGCTGCGAACACCCAACGTGAAACTCGACGAAGATCACCATCCAGAAGATTTCCTTATTATTATAATTGCTCGTTATCTGATCTTCCACCTTTGCCGGTGGAAACGTTGAAACCGATCCCGATGATCTCGACGATCGAATTATAATAATTTCAAATGACGAACCAGCTCAACGTCAAACACTGTCGCATCGAATTTTCATAGAGATTTTCAAACGATCGAAGTGGGAAATTGTGCTTTACTCGACTACGAACCTATCAATTAATTTCAACATATCTTTATATACTTTTGAAATTACGATAGTGGCTTATAAAAGTATTCGAATTTTTTTTTTCATCATTACGATAATTATGATTCTGTTTTGGCAAAATTTGAAGCCAACTTGTGAAAATATGCTCCGAAGATCAGTGAAATATTTTCCAACGCGATTTTGAACGATAGATCGTCGATCATGAATCTTCTCGTCGGAGAACGAGCGAATATACAAGTTATCGTTCGATTCAGAAAAATGTGTCTGGCCTTCGTGTCTTTTTCTACATCTTCATTTGCATGGGAGAATACTAACTAGTGTCTACTAACATTAAATTACATTCACCTTGAGACCAAGTAAATAACTGTGGTGGCTTTAACTTCTTTTAAGAATAAGTCCGTACAGAATCACAATTACGTAACTGAAGATCATGGCAATTTATTTTTATTAAATTTCTGAGTAATATCTTAATATTAATAAATAATTAGATATATAAATAATAAAGATTATTAGATAATAAATAATTAGATATAACTTTATTTTATAATAAAGATATTTTTAATAAAGAACTTAAATTCTTAATAATAAAAATAAGATATTTTTAATAAAGAACTAGAATTATTAATAAGAAAGAACTTTCGCTGGTAGAATCTAATAATATCTATAATCAGACTGCACAATTTTACACTTTTTATCATATTCTTTTTAAATGCGTTTCATTTACTAGATATTACAACAATTGTCCTACTTTCAACATTCCATGCATATTCCAAATATTTCATATTGTACAAAAGTGTCTTAGCAGTTGATCCTGCGTGATAAAGTAAGAATAAAATTTTTTTCATTGATTTCAATTTTCGAGAAGATCGAGTTTGAAAATTTATTCAAGTACACTTGAATTTGACTACACTTCTGCACTGGACAGGCGCGAATAATCGACAGGAGAACGTCTATGTACAAAAGTAAGCGAAAAATGTAGATTTTTTTATATTTTATCGTTTGAGACGTTATTTTCAAGGAAA